GATTATCCTCCACCCAGCCACCAATCTACATCGCATAAACTTTCCCCAACATTACAACCTCTGCTCCTTTAGATGTGGCCAATGGATTCCAAAGAAGTAACACGAGGAGGGCAGGGATGAAGATAGAGAGGTCTGCAAGTAATTACATTAACCTAATTGTATTAGAAATAGGGCTGAAGACTGATTATACACAATAAACTTAACGGGTCAAGAAGTTGGGCTGAGTTGGTATTGTGTATAATATTAACTCTTAACATAACTTGCTGTATTTGCTTTTCCTGCTTTTACATTTTCTGATTTTTTTTTAGTGCTCAATTTAGCAATCTAGGGTTTGTTTTATTTTGCATTTGATAATAATAATTAATCCAACAGTGATGCCAATGTCTAGCCCTCAATCAGTTCTGCTCTGGAAAAAAGTCCTTTTAAGATGCATTGGGATTTTGGCTATTGTTTTGCAGGAGTAAATGTTAAGTAGCAGATATGTGTCCAAAATGTTGTGAACACTTTTAAACAGTTCTCTAATTGTTGCTTTACATTGGAGGCTGTTATGTAAAAGGAAATCGATAAGCTAATTCTGTTGTCCTTTTCTAACTACTGTTCGTGTGTGTAGCATTGGTTATTTAACGCTGACGTATACCATAAACATTTGAAATGTGAGAATGTTGCTTGCTAGTTAGCCTCTTATGATATAGGATGGTTCGTACATAATGCAGTACAAGTTTGTCATGAACAAAAAATGCTTACTATATAATAGCAGAATCAGGAATCAACCACTTAATGCCTGCTCCAAAAGATTAAGAAAAGGATAATGTTAGATGGCCAAAACAGCTAAAAATCTAATTCTGCCTGATGATCCTAATCTTGCTCTATGGTTGAGAAACAGACATTGTGGATAGAAAAGTAGCAGTAAGTTGTCTTGTCAAGTTATCCTGATGTAGCTTTCATAAAAGCTCACTCACCCATTTTCTAACCAAGGCAATTTAATCCAGATTATATATATTTATAAGTGGCTGGATAATTAAAAACAAAAATGATCTCATAATCAGCTTGACTCGTAATTGCAGGCAGTCTGATTCACACTGGACCTTCTTTGGGTTGGACCAAATTAAATCCAGAGATCCTTTCAAATTGAAATCATTCTATAGTTTTGTGATCCTATGATACTGAAGCAGTATGAAATGTTTTTTGGAAGCTGGGGCTAAAATTAAAAATGTTCCTATATCAATTCAGTAGGAAGTGCAAGTATATTTCACCCTGTCTTATGTTAGAGTAACTGACTAAACAGTGTCGTGAAACATTTTTGTCTATTACTTTGGTGATTGACTGATTAGCAAACATGTTGAAGTTGCAAAGCATACTGTGAAAATTTTGTACTATTGTCAACTCAGTTATTGGAACATTCTGGCTGTCGTAGTGCTTTATATCAACAGGATGTGAAAGATATTTTTAGATTTTACATCAGCACACAGCTTCATTCTTAGGATCGGAATTCAGAGGAAAATGTTAAGAAATGTGCCAAAAGAAAACAGCTGTTCAGGAAAAGTGCTGTGAAAACTGCTTAGATTATAAGCAAAACTAATATATTTTCACATGACTCCATAATATTTAGATAAGTGTTTTTTGCTTATGTACAGTTGAATGATTGTGCAGTCAGAACTTACACATTAACATTAGAAAATACTCATGTAGTTTATATTTAAAATGTTATAAACATTCAGCTCTAGGATTTTAAATTTAACCATATTCCTGTTCAGCAAAAATTCCTTGATGTGTGGGGAAGCATAAAGGGTCATTTAAATTGTAAGAAATATGGGGCTTGGATTGTTGGGAGGCATAAACCTAAATCCTTTTATGATACTCATTTCTACTGAATTAAAATGAGGAAGATTCAGATAATTTTCTGAATAACAATGAGTGCTGGGTTATGTTCTGTTCCCAAGAAAGTCAAAGAACTATATGAAGTGAATTAAAATATGTGGGATGTACTATCTATTCATATTTAATACTTTTCTCCTTCCTAGCTTTTGTAAAAGTTATAGCTGAATAGATATGCTAAGAGTAATGCTTACCTTTTCCCCTATGTCATGAGGAAGAAAATACTTTTTCCATTAATCAGATAAATGGGTTTTAGAAATTTTATTTGAGGCACTCTAAATTACAATTGCAAAAACACTAAAAATTAAATATTATAAACTACTTAATATCTGAAACACGTGAAGCTGAGATATATAGCAATACACTGTTGCACATATTAACTCAGCTACTTTGCTTATAATGGCTTTCCCCGTTTGTACATGATGCATACAATAGCTTTGACTTTGTTTGATTTTGTGCTTTTCCTCCCAGGTTTGGATTTGTTCTTCATAAGGATGAGCCTGTGCTCCAGAAAATTGATCTAGAAACTATGTCGTACATCAAGACAATTAGTTTAAAGGATTATAATTGCATTCCTCAGTCTCTGGCTTATACACATCTTGGAGGATATTTTTTTGTCTGCTGTAAGCCTGATACCACTGGGGCTGTCCTACCGCAGCTTATAGTGGATAGTGTTACTGATTCTGTGATTGGATACAATGGCAACGTAACAGGCACACCTCACATCTCTCCAGATGGACACTACCTTGTCAGCATTGATGATGCAAAAGGTCTCATGAGGATCCAGTCCATAACAACAAGAGGAGAAATACAATATGCATTTGACATTCACACTAATTTGCACATATCTGATGTAGCTTTTCAGCCATCATTCACTGAAGCTCATCAATACAACGTCTACTGTAGCTCCAGCACACAAACTGATGTTCTCTTCGTGGAGCTTTCCTCTGGCAAGGTTAAGATGGTGAAGAGTCTGAAGGAGCCTGTCAGGGCAGGCGAATGGCCTTGGAACAGTAAGAACCGTCTTATAAAAGACAGCGGCCTTTTTGGTCAGTATCTCATGACCCCTTCCAAGGATTCTCTGTTTATCCTGGATGGACGGCTCAATAAGTTAAATTGTGAAATCACTGAAGTTGAGAGAGGCAACACAGTAATTTGGGTTGGAGAAGCATAAGGATCTGTGTTAGATATTTACCGAATTAATAGTTTTACAGTACATTGCATTTAAATTACACCATTCTTCAGATTTACAGAATTTTAATTTAAAATTGTTAGGCCTTTGAATTGTTAGACATCCTTATTTCTTTTGACTTGAACACAATTTGAATCAACTTCCACATAAAAGTTACTAAAATAACCGCTATTTGATGATGGTACTCCTTATTAATTATCAGCTGAGATTGTGTTGGTTGACTGAAATTGCTAAATATTGAAATTGATGATAAATATCATACATTATTTTAAAAGAAGTAGGGAAAAAAGAAACAAAAAGCAAAATACTAAATTCAGGGAGTTTAATGTGATACTTTGGATTTCTAAATGGAAGACATAAATATGATTCAGATTTTGGTTTGATTTCCTTCAGACAAAAAATAAGAGCTGTTGTACAAACTCTGACTCTTTAAATTGAAATGTTATGTCCTGTTCTGTCCAGCCCACAGTTTAATCTTTTTGTGCCTTGAAGCGAAAGTCTCACATGAAAGGTAAAGCATGGAAATTGTATAATTTATTCCCACTGTGGCTACAGGATTGTCATTGGAAAGAAACTTTTCCAATGACTTTTCCAAATTTCTAGTCTCAAGCTGTGGAACATACATGGAGGGAAAAAAAAGAGGAATTATATTTGCATTGTTGCAATTTGAGGAGTTTATTTTTATGGTGATTCTTAGTCGAGCGAACTGCTTGCAGAAGCTTAACCCTTTTTTAGAAAAAAATAGATGTTAGGTTTTTCAGCTATCACAGGGTTTCATCAGCAAGGAGTTTCTGTTCTACTGAGGATAAATATTGTGCTTATCCTTTCAGAGTAAACCACATTCTAAAAACCTGGCATCACAAAACTTGACATATATCGTTAAGGAAACTGTTATTTAAAAACAAACAAAATGCATTTTAAGAAACTGAAAATGCAAAGAACTGAAGACTACAACCAGTAGATAACATTTTTGCTTATGCATTATACCATTGATCCATATTTGTTAAACCATTTGGTTAGCTCAGCAGGTTTTCTATTCTGTGCATCCAATTGGATTAATATAAAAAACAAACAACAAAAACTTTGTATTTTTTTATAGTTTGTTTACTTAGAATTCTAATATTAACAATGGTTAAACATGTACATGGGAAAAATAAGATTCCTAGAAGCAGAATAAGTCAGTAGGATCAGAAAGCTAGCAGTAAACAGCTATCCAGATTTAGACCAATGACTTAAAAGTTTAGGAGTATTTTTATTATGTTTTGCTAAAGAATGCTTATAAGCTCTTAAACTGGCCTCCACTTACTGAAGGCAATCAGAAAAAAATATCTTTTTTTAAACAAAATTTTACTGTAATTTAGATTGTGTAAAATTGCTTAGAAATCCAGAATTTTCTAGCACTGTAGTCTTGTGTGCGTTTAGCATCCTGCCCTGTGTGGTACAGTAGATCTCTCTTTAGCCTGAGCAAACCTCCTGCTAGGTAGATTTAACTAAGATAAGAATCTGATTACATTTCTAGCTACTGAATCTGTTTTCCTTTTTAACAACTTTTCTCTGTTGTAAACAAACAAGAATCATGTAAACTGTCTGTTACTCATTTGCAGTAGTCTGTCTCATGTTTTCATGCATTTTTCTTCTGTAATTTACACCACGTGAATGTTCTGTATGTAGAAAAAGCTTGACAAAAGAAGAATAAACCCCATAAATTTTAAACAGTCCTGACTTTGGTAAATGCTCCAATGTAGCCACACTGAAGTTATATATAACATAGATTTTATTTGTTAAACAAAGGTAGAAGGAAGTTTATCTGCCTATTATTTTATATAGATATATTTTTATATATCTATATAAAATAATATACAGTGCAGAAAGAAAACTTTTTAGAAGACTTAACTGGAAGTTTCCTTTGACTGCTACAAAGAAAAGCTAATCTATTAATCAATTAGGCACAGAGGAATTAGAGTATAGACAGATATTTATTCCCATGCCTAGCCTCTGCAGCCAAAAACCTCTCATCTAGAAGCTGTACAAACATAGAAGCCCAAACCAAGAAGCATGCAATCCAACTAAACAACTCCTTATCCAGTCTGCCCAGTGTAGGTGGATTCTACACTCACCTTGCCGTCTCCTTGCCTGACCATTAACGTTCAAGATAAGAATTGAATCACATGACAATAGTGAGATTCCCTTGACAATGTAAGCTGCCTTGTGTTATGCATGATCCCTTACAATCTCTATCAAAGTCCAAGTCAGTTGTCAGTTTTAGCAGCATCTTATTCTTTTGTATTAGCAACATTTGACAATTGAAGAAGCTTTAAAACTTGAATAAACTATGTTGCTTGTTGTATGAAACAGGACACCAAAATCTCTACTAATATACTTAACAGATTTGGCTATGTCAGTAATATCACAGTAATTTATATAGTATAGAAACTGTCCTGATCAGTTTAAGATTCTTGTTTGAAACCAGTTTCCCTGGTCCCACTCTGAGAGTATCTCTGACTCTAGCTAAAGCAGTTTGATAAAGGACTATTGCCAATTTCTTGTATTTTGTTTAGCTAGTCCATTGTAATAGCTCAAAGACCATGGTTTGTTTCTTTCCAGTTGTTGTGGAACTGAAACACGTTTCTGGTGTCCAGGAGTTGCTTGATCCCATTGAATAAATGAAGAATCAAACACTGTCTTCAGTGTTTCAAGTTTCCCTTAATACAAACCCTGATGTAACAGCAGTTGGTTTCGAATGCCGGCTTTCCTAAATGCTGTTGGAAGCAGAGGCAACAAATGCCTTCTCTTAATTTGTGGCAAACACTCATTTTATTTCACAAGCTGTTACAAACTTTCAAGATTTATTATTTCTCTTATGGAAATACATTAGAGAAAAGTAGTGGAAGATAATGGAAGTGTAATGGAAGAAACCAAATGCATGCCAAGTTCTGTTACAGCCAAGTTCTGTTACAGCTGCTGAAAGTTTCCACTATGTTCCTGTATGCTAATGAATTTGAGAAGTGCATGTGAGGACAAGATGAAGTGCTGTTCACCAAGGATTTTGATGATAGAGCTGCTTTTGCTAAGGTAATTAAAAAAAAATAAAATATCATGAAACATAGAGAAGGGGCTCTCAGCCTGTTTTAAGTCACCAAAGGAAAGAAAAAATGGTGCCAAAGTAAAAAAAAAAAACAACCAAACAAAAAAACTTTAATGGAAAAAATGATGAAACAAATTTAAAAGAACTCTAGATATTTTTTAAGTTATATCAATGAGGTTAAAAGTGTTATTTTGAGTTTTAGTGAACCTCCTGCTTAAGTAAGGCTGTCTGTTAAATACAGGTTAAAGGACATCTGAACATTTAAGACTATGATAATATAATTTAGATTTTAAATAGTGATTCTTCATCAGCAGTTTCAACTTTCAATTAACAGAATCTTCTGAGCTTGAATATGCCATTTCTTTGTGTTATTGAGCATCTGTTTTGTTACACCGAGATAGTGTCTGCATTTATTTAGGAATGAAGTACTCCCAAATATGGATTACAGAATAGCAGAGTTGCAAATTATGAACATTGTATTAAGAAAATAACATAGTTATTACATCATTTGTCCTACTTACCACAAAATACCCAGTTTTATTTCAACTGAAAGAGCATCAGCAGCTTAGTTCGGACATTTGTTTTTAAGACCAGTAACAGGATACTTTGCAGGATATTTTATAAATTAATTGTATGTGTCAAATAATTCTTAAAAAAAAAAAAAAGAGGGCAAAACAAAAAACCAAACCAAAACAACAACAAAAAACCCCATTATTACCAGTCATGTACTCATTTCCCCCCCCCTTTCCTGGTATTTTGAAGTGAATACCTGTGATGCATTTCAAGAGCTTCTGGAAAAAAATGAATCAATTAGTTGCTACAGGAACATGCCTAGTGAATCTTATAAATATGTTGTATCCTGGACAAGTGCTCTCACCACTGGCTAGGGTTGAAAAAGGAGGAAGCCTTCACCCACTCTTCCTGCATCTACATTTTAAAGTAAAATAAAGGGCATGCCTTCAAAGACTGTAGATGGCTATTTTCAGCTATCTGAACTCAGATCCAAAATGTCAGGAGGCACTTTCTAGCTGTTCTGAGTAGCAAACTGAAGTCATAGCAGGGTCCTACACCCTGTGTCAGTTCCATTAGCTACCTCTAGACCATCTTTTTAATCCTCTGCCTCTCCAAGCTCTAATTCCGAGGTACCCAAAGTTTTCCATTAATATAGAAGACTCCTAACAATAAGCACTTAGCAGCAATATTTAACCCTAAGGTACTTCTGACTCTAAATTAGTTCTATGTACTCAAGCACCACATATCAATCAATAGCAATGTGACCTGACAGTACCCTGTTTCTGCCAGTTTGTGTCCAATTTCAGAGCTTCACTGAAGGAAATAAACCCAGGGTAAAGATTCTTATGGATGAAGAGAAAATGAAAAAGCCCACCAACACAAAAATCTCCCTTACTTGCACAAATAACCAGAAAAATTCTTAAAACAGGGATGAGTATACAAAGAATAATTTTGTTTCCTTTAAAACATATTCACAAAATAATCAGACTTTATAGAACTGCTATCACAAATTTATTTTCCACATTTATTTATAAAATCCTCCAGAGCTTATACTAAAAGTTCTGTGTTTTCCAGCATAAATTTATGACTATGTCATTTGTTGTGATATAATTCTTTGCCTTCAAAAATTCTGCTGCTTCTTTGATATTTTCCAGACTGTATGTGTAAACAATTGTCACAACTTCTCATCTTTTTTTTTTTTTTTTAATGAAGTTAGACAAATACTTATCCCCATGGTTATTTTCGTAGATGTTACAGTTGAAGTTCAGCTTTTTCAAATACAGGCGGCCTGACTGAAAGCATTAATTTGAATGACAGGAGGAGCTAGAACCCCAGTTTCTGTTTTTTGTTGGCAGCCTGTGAGGAGAGTCTAAGGTAAAAGGGCTTTTTCAGCCTGGGGAGAAGACATCTTCAGGGAGGCCTAATAGCAACCTGCTAGTATCTGTGAGGAGGTTATAAAGAAGATGGAGCTAGGTTCTTCACAGACTTAAGTAGCAGGAGAACAAGACATAGAAGCAAAAATTGAATCAAGAGTTTCAGACTGGATATTTGGAAAAGCTGTGAAGACAGCCAAGCAGGGGAGTGGGTTGCTGAGAGAGGTTGTGCAGTCTCTGTCCTTGGAGATTTTCAACACCTGGCTGGATTATGCCCATCTGACCTTTAGCTGAACTGGCTTTGAGCATGATGTTGGACTGCCAAGGTCCCTTCAAACCTGAATTATCTTGTGATTCTATGATTATGACTCGCGAATAGAAACAATAACAATTTTAATATGTTTCAGTTGTTTAAGTTTCTGACTGAGGTAAGGTAAGTGCTCCTTTCTAAATATCTGAAGAATGCCTGTAGCAGAGGAAAGGGATGCTTGAGAACATCATTGTAGTTAAGATTTCTTGATGCT